CCACTTTAACAGAGTCTCACCCTGAAACCAAAAACTACCAAGAAACACCAAGTCTGTGTGGACTGGGAGCTTTAAAAGCCACTTTTTAACACAAAATTCAGTTGAAGGAGGATTTCTGGCCAGCAGGGTTGGTGAGGTTGAGGGACACACAGGCTAAGAATAGCGGAGACATAGCAACAGAGACACGGGGGCCCGGGCCCCGTATAAGGCCTGTAACACGAAGCCCCAGAATGCTTCACTGCCCGATTCACGTCGCTAATATAGACCCCTCTTACTGCAACACATTCTTTCTCTCTCAGTGCTATCGCTTCTCGCTGCCAGCACCTTATTATCTGTAATCAGGATTTTGGTGCGTCGATGTTTTCTCCAGCTCCGTGTTCAATTCTGCCTGAGAGAGGAAACAACAAAGTGACTTCCTGGAAACACACCCAGCAGGCTGTTGTGGCCGCCTGTTCGCCGTAGATCTGTGCGTGTGTCGTTTGGAGCGGTTTAATTAGCAGTCAGCCACAGCTGTTAAGGTTAAATGAAGGGGAAAAAATGCGGATTATTTAGTGTGTGGTTTCAAGCTACCCTTTTTTAAATGTCACGTCCAGATGTTTCTGGGAACCAGTCACCTGCAGCCACACGTTTAAAATCAAAGGTTGTGCAAAGGTGTGATGCTACAAATGAGATTTTTCATGCTTTTGATTTGCAGCTCTTTATATTCCAGTGTTCAGGAATATTTAGTTGTACTATTTTATATAGATCCATCTATGTGTTGCTCGTATTTCTAATCTTCTGTCTCTTTAACAAAGATGGACCTTTTCCAGAAACCTGCTGTTTAATATCACATGTCTTCCTTACGATGGAGTACTGCGACCAAAATTACGATAATAAAGTCTAAAGTTGTAATATTATGAGAACTTCGATGCATAGAAGCACAGCTACAAATGCAGCAAAATGAGGAATGTTAAACATTTTTGGTATTAATTTTATGAGCAGTAAAATAATCTATTAACTCATCAGTATTAGATTATTACATTATTCTGGTAATATCACTTTATTTTTGCATTATTAACACTTCATTCTGGTTATATTATGATTTTATTCTCATTATTTCAACTTATCCTTGTAATTTAGTTTCTCTTTTCTTAGCCTGACCTCAGTACTTAAATATAAAGCTCGAAATTAAAGACAAAAAGTTGTGCAGGTAGCCAAAGAAGATAATAATAGATTTTGACTTTTGCTACATGACTGCATGTGTTTTTTTTTCTTCTAACAGAGAAGAACTGAAGGACAAAAATCCAAACTTCTCTTCAGTGCTTTCACTCTGCTAACTTTGGACCAAAAAAAAAACTAAAGAAACAACCTTTACCAATTCAAATATGAGAGAAATTAATAGAAAAAACTTACAGAAACTCGTGCCATTTAACTCTTCATGGTAAATTTTGTAACTCCAGACATTAAAAGGACAGGAACTAAATGCGCTGGAGTCAAGATGGGACAGAAATGGTCAAAATGGCTCCATCATTTCACAGTTTCTAAGACAAATTCAACAAAACATTTCCTGTTCTAAAACTAACAGTGACCTTTCTGAGAGTGATTATCCTCAACATCAACAACCCAAATACATGCAAACATAAAACCAACGGAGCACTTACTGTGACCTCCCCTTTCTGATGCTGCCCTGGGTAACCGCCCAGATAGCTCAAATCAGAAAGCACTGCTGCTTTCATAAAGTTACATACCGGTAATATGAAAACGTCTCATGGATATAAATACATAAAGACGGCAACAACACTACAGAGTTTGGCATCATTTTCTTTTTATAAAAAAATAAATAGAAACACAAACATTTTATACAAATACAACAAAATCACAGAAATCATCACTTCAGTAAAGCAGAATTTAAATTCAACACATCTAAAACACTTATACCTAATCTGGCAATAATTTACCAGTAATGCTCATAATATATGCTTTTCTTTTTTACAGATTTACTGATAAAATGCTAAAAGAAAAAAAAAGCAACAAGTGGGATTAAATTTTGATCATTGTTTCACCACAGTGTCAATATAATATCTGATTTTATCTTCAGGTGTCAAGAAAACAGTTACAGTACAATCATAGTCAAAGACGCAGCAGTCATAGTAATCTGCAATGTACATTAGTGGAGATGAAGAGCTTTGAAATGTTGAACCGAAACTGAATTATGAAAAGAAAGAAAACTCCGTAACTCTTATTTTAAGGGGTTTGCATAAGACATAAACATGATGCAACTCCTGTTATGAACACAAATGACTCTTCATAAATGTTTACGACTGTTGAATAAAGACACGTTTAATGCAAAGGTACACTAAAAGTTAAAATAAAAGTTCATCATAAGTGTCAACTTTGCAATATTCAGTAAATAATGACACTTTTAATGCAAAATAAAAGTGTCAACTTTGCAATATTCAGTAAATAATGACACTTTTAATGCAAAATAAAAGTGTCAACTTTGCATTAAAAGTGTCATTATTTACCGAATGGCACTTTTTGACAACAGTCATAAGCATTCAAGAAGACTCCTTCATGTTCATAACAGGTGTTATATCATGCTTATGACAGTCTTGTGCAATACCCCTTCAAATAAAGTGTTACCGAAAACTTAAATGTAAAAATAAATAAATAAATAAAAAATTTCCATTTAGATAACACAAGTTTGGTCAAACAGAGAAGGCAGATTTACAGACTCAGTTTCAATCCAAACCTGTCATAATTGATCGTAATGGGAACTTTTACATATTATTCACTGTGGCCTGTCGGCTCATCTTTACATTCTGGAGCCAAAGTAGCTGCACAAAAAGTGCAAATGAAAACCACTTAGAAACAAAATGTGTATTTTGTTGCACAACATATTTTTAATACTTCAAAGAGTTTTAAGGCCTTAATCCACCGGCAAATAGCATTAGACCTAAAGTTATTGGGGCATTAATAGAAATCACTTTCACATTTTAATGTTCCAAATTCATCATCCAGCGTTAAACATTATCAACAGTTTAAACCAAGAGTTGATTTTGATTGAATGTTGTCAGTTTGTTTGACAAAACAAAGCGATAAAAAGCTGGTTTTACGTCGATGTTTGCTGTGAAATATAATCTGTTTATTTAGTGCCGTTTCACACCAAATGTCATCTGAAGGCACTTTGAAAAAAACAATTCAATCCAATCCAAGTGGCAACAGTGGAGAGAAAAACTCCACTTTAACAGGAAGAAACAAACTGGGGCTTTGAGAAGACGAACAAACGAACAAAAGCTTTCACTTGAATTTTATCTGGTTTACTTTGACTAACCTATATGTGGCAAATTCAAGTTTATTTCTGCTTAGTTCTGTTGTGTTTTGAATTTATTTACTTTAATTTTTATGCCAATTCTCTTAGCGTTAACTTGTGATTAAGTATTTGCCACAATTTCATATTTCATTATTAAATAAATGGAAATTTATGTTTTATCTTCATTAATTTGTTTTACAGTTAAAGTACTATTCGTATGACAGTTGTACTGTTTTTAAAGTATTCATATCTTCATTTTATATTTGACATTTTGTCATTTATATATTATCTATCTCTTAATATTAGTTAAAATTATTTTCTTCGGTACCTAATGGATGCCTTTAAACTTTTAAATATGTACTCAAAGTACATATTTAAATATTCCTCTGTAGGAAAATGTGAAAGTAAAACTGATTCTGAATCATAACAAACAGAAGTTTGGTTTGAGAACATTAATTGCTTTTGGAAATTACATAATGCGTTGGAAATACTGTGTATTTTCATGTTATTAATATTTAGGTACATAGCTAGAAAATTTATATAAAGTACGGGTCATAAACTGTGTGCAAAACTTATGACAGGATTTCAGATTTTTATTTACCAAATTATGTTTCCTACCAAAAAAAAAAACTCTACAAGAACAAACTTTTAACAGCCACTCGGTTTATATACAGGAGAGAAAATCTGAAAAAAATAAAACTAGTAGAGAAATACATCACTTGTTAAATAACTCCATGTTTAAATAACATTTTTCACAATCCTTGACAGTGATTTTAAGGCTATTTTGTTCCTTTCTGCTTTGAGGTAAATCATCTTTAATGACAATGATATGAAAACCACCTTTCTGCAAATGATGGATGGGCCAGGGTGTGTCTGATGATCAGAACCAAGAAAAACAATAAAACAAAGATAAATTTACTCAACTAGATGCTTTCAGTTAAAAATAGGAATGTCAGTACTCTTATAAAATCACAGAATGACGCAGTAAAAACAATAAATTAGTTCTAATGAGGGTTTTCTGTCAGATTGAAAATAACCTTTAAGCACTTTTCTTTAAGCCCATATTTCTGTATTAAATTTATTTTTATTGGTCTGATGTAACATTCAAATCTTCATTAGCTGCAACACAAATAAAAGCTTAAAATTAATCTATACATTTTAAATTAATTATATAATTTATTTAAAACAGGTATTTAAAACATTATAATTTAAAAATTATTATAATTTATTAAATATTCCTGTACATTTTTAATTATAAGATTATAGCTCCTTCCTGTAAACGAGTGTTTACTATCACTGCTTAAAATCAACCTGACTAAACTTTAATTTGTATTTTTTCTGACGTTTTTATAAGAAATTATTCACCTTTAAGGTAAAAACTGTCCAAGCAGGTGATGGTAATCTGTTTGTTTCACCGCTATAAGACGAGTGACTAGCAGCTAATTCCTGTTACCTTGTAAGTAGAATTTGGACCTGGATTTGACATTTATCTGAGTTAAAGGCAGTCTAGTTAAGAAGTGGGAAATTCAACATGGCGACGCCCATAAACCTTGTTTGCAGCGCCTCTTAACGACATGACTTTAATACTGACGGTTGCAGCAACAGCTGGGCGAGAAAGCGGCTCGGACGTCCTAGAAAACAAACAAAAACGCCGAGACGATCCTTGGTGTCTCTTTAAAGAGCTTCAACAGCAAGATGGCAAGTTTAGTGACTTCTGAAAACCGTGGCGTTGATTTATTAAGACTGGAAACCGGCCCATTCCTGCAGCTCAAACACACATCACCTAAACTTTCTGGGAATTCAGGCTCACATATTTTCATTGCATGCAAAGGGAACCATAACGATCAGACAGCATGCTGGTACAGGTTACTCCTCAGAAGGGAGACACGGCGACACAGTACTAGACTTTACTGTTCACGGTAACGCCGTCGTCGTCTCCAGTCTGGCGATGTCGAGCAGCTCCTTACTGACCGGAGTAACGGTTCTGGCCACTTTGAGGCTGCCGTGGAAACCGGGAGGACTGTGCAGGATGGACGGGGTGGATATGGAGGCGACGATGATGGACGACGGGTTCTTGGACACCGTCTTTGGTCCGGGCTCCCTCATCATGCTATCCAGCTGTGTAGGAAGAGAGAAGGAGGATTTTAGGTAAACTTAACATTAAAATGACAGGAGGTGATTGGAAATCTTACCAAGTAAATTTAGTCTAGTTTCTAATGCAAATATCTTAGTACATTTGAAATAAGACAAAAGTTAACTTACAAGTAATTTTTTAGCAAGAAATGGAGGCTTATTTTAAGTAAATAACTTCTTAATATTGAAGGAAAAGTTCTAATTTCATTGGCAAAATTTTTTACTTATAACCAGAGAAAATGTCTCATTATAAGTTAAATAATCTGCCAATGAAACTAGAATTTTTCATCAATATTTAGGAATTATTTACTTAAAACAAGCTCCTATATTTTGCTGAAACGTTACTTGTTAGTTTTGTGTCATTTCAAGTTTGCTAAAATATTTGCGCTAGAAATTAAACAAAAAAAAAAACTTGGTAAGATTTTGTATTTTTGCAGTGAGGTCAAGGAAAAAAGATGTGTAGGTGCAGAAGTGGCTGTATGATTCATAGGTTAAAATCCCTCAAAGGACAGAAAACAAGGTCACATTTTAATGCATTTTATACATCTGAGGAAATGTTTAACATATAATTAGTTCACTTAAACTACTAATGAAACATTATTGTAACATATTCCTAAGTTTTAAATTGCCACAAAATCTTACTATTTTTGTCTAATTTCTAGTGCAAATGTCTTAGTAGACTTGAAATAAGACAAAATTAAATTACAAGAAACTTTTCAGCAAGATATGGGAGCTTGTTTTAAGAGAATAAATCCTTAATAATGTAAAGCACTAGCTCCACTTTTCATCAATATTAAGAATTTATTAACTTAAAATAATCTCATATTTCTTGCTGAAAGTTACTTGTAAGTTGGTTTTGTCTTATTTCAACTGTACTAAGACATTTGCACCAGAAACTAGACAAAAATAAAAGCTTCATTTTAATGCACTGAAAAATTATCCAACTATCCCTATGGTTGTTTTTCTTTTTATTGTTCCCAAACTGAAGCAGCTCTTAGACCCAACCACTTCACGCCTTTGCACTGATGGGAAGAGACTCTCTGCTGTGTCTGGTTGTAAAATCAAAAACAACATGAACAGAAGTGGAAAGTGGCAACAGATGATTATTTTTGCAGCAGTTAAAACATTTTAATATAAACAGCAGAAATTTAAGGACAGGTTGGAATGAGATGAAGAGGAAATAAAAAGACTTCCTGTCTTTCAAATGTTTTTTGTTCTCATGAACCAAGTGCATGAGTTAATTATTACAAATAATTTTTATTCTAAGTGTTTTGAGTTATTCTTATATAAATTAGTAATGTGAATGAATTTTTAAAAGAAGAAACTTACAGCTAATACAGCAATGTACTCTAAATTTTAACAGAGAAATTTAATTTCTTCACTATCAAACAACTGTATTACATAAAATAATATTGTCAAATAAAACATTTAATCTTCATTTTTAAGTGCTTCTACACAATAAAATGGAGCATGAATGAAATAATTTCATGCAACCATGAAATGTAAAATATGAAATGAAGAATTTCTCAGAACAGCAACAAAAACAAAAGTTAAACTCTATCAGATGTGAGGATGAAAACAGCAGACAACATGAATTTGTTGATGATTTGGTTATTTTAATGCTTGCTGATTTAATGTGTGTAATGAACAATTAGTAGATTCTTACAGTAGCAGACAGATGGCTGGTTGGCTGCCGGCTGATCTCCAGCATGCAGATGTCTTCAGGCTCTGTCAGAGTCTGAACACCACAAAATAAAAACAGTTTCAGTGTTCCCCCCCCTCAAATGATCTTCTGTAGCTGCATGTCAGGATCAGACAATAATCTGCTTCATTTAGGGGAAATCAGCATGTTATGGTCAAAACGTTTCAAATCAGGGATTCTCACTTACAGCAACGATAATATATAAAAAAAAGTCTAAAAAAAGTCTTGAGGTTCTCGGTTTTGGTGATGATGCAAAAATTATTACCAAAATCAAACAAATAAGATTTTTTTTCTGCCTTTATTGGCCTTTTATCTCGTATTTTTTTTAACTGGAAAACAAACAAATATGTTACGTAACACCACTTCTGAATATGAATAACCAAAAGAAGCAGGATTTTCATGATATTTCTTCATTTGAATTCTTTAGCTCGAAAAAACACATTAAAGTCAGCCAACATTAATAAATAAAATAAAATAAAGATATTTGTTGTTGCTCAATAACTTATAAAAAGAGATGGAAACTGTTTTGTCCTGATTCTTCCTATGTTTGAATTAAAGATGTTATATCTAACTTTTATAAAATATGTTGTTTTTTTACTTATTTTTGAGACTCTCTGACCAGCACTGCTCCCAAAACAGACCTAAACATCTACAAGCATTGTTACACTTCAATTAGTAATTAATTTTTGGCTGCATTTGTTAGTGAATCTTGTGTACATACTCTTTCACATGCAGCAGATGAGCTTATATTCCTATACAATAGTAACTCCAGCAACTTTTATGCTGAAATAACTGAAACAATTGACAAACAGTTTGCTTCAGTTGTACAATTTGCCATGCATATTTCCTCATATTTTACTTTTTTGTGTTATTTTCTGTAAAGACAAATGTCTGGAGAAGTGTGTCACTGGAGGGGCACGAAATTTCTTTGAGCAAATGCTGCGGATTTACATTATCAGAGCCATCTCAAAAACGTCTCCCAGCAGAAACCTTTGGGTTTAATTGAAAAAAAAAAAAAAGATGTGAGGGTCATAAAATGTCACAGACTGTAGCAAAATCACAAGTTTTATCTGCAAATACAACTCTGCAGAGGAGTGGGCGCCACGGAGGGGGGAAGGAATGTAACAGCAATTTGTCATAGTTATGTTTTCCATTTTTGTGTTTCCTTTCCCGTGTGCCATCACAAAACACTTTGATATGTTGGAGACAACACTCCCAGGCGAACGTGCAGCTCCTTTTGTTCAAAGAAAGAATAGCCATTAAATATTCCCCTGATGAAGAAAAATTATGTTTACTGTGTTCATGTCATGATACAAGGGATTCTGGGAGCATTTTGTTTGTTTTGAATGAGGTCTTATCTTGCTCTTCTTGTTTTTTTATGCTGAGTACTTTGGTTTATTTTCACCTCCTTTCAGATTTTTTGTTTGTTTGTTTGGCTGAATCCACACAAACACAGATGTCTGCCAGAACAACATTTACACTCATAAGATTTGTTTTAATGCTTTTAAAAATAAATATTAAAAAACTCTGTTTTTTGGTGCTTATATGTAGAATAGATAACTAAAAACAAATAATCAGAGGCCCATTTTCCAGATATTCATACTGATATATATGATATAAACCCCAACAGTGACGAAATGTTTCTGAATTTCAACATATTTTTTCGCTTTTTCTTGACTTTGTTTCCATTAGACTTCAAATATGAGCTGAAGAAACAACTGAAAGGAAAAGAAACACCAGCTACAATATCTACGTTAGATTATTTAACCCAGATCTGCTTTAGCCGTGCCTGGAAGCTTCCTCTTTTGAAATTTGAAGTTGTTGACAATTTCGCCACCTACTGACAAACAAAACATACTGCAACCTTCCTGAGTGGAATCTAAAAGGTAAAGGTGAAAATGTTTGTAAAAATGGAGGAAAAATGTCAATAGTGTTACTGTCACTGTAGTTTGTTCCTTGTTGCCTGCTGTCCCCTTGGTTTGCTTCACATTGTCTTTTTTTACTAAACCAATACAATGCTGTTGCAGTTTTAGCTTTAATTTGAAAATTGACACTTTTAGCTGCCATCTGACGTTTGCTACATTTGTGTTACAGCAGCAAAGTAAGCAGGCTGAGGATCCTAAAAGCACAAAAATTATATAAAGTAATGGAAATTTACAGAAGTGGAGAGAAATGGGTGACACAATAATGAAAACATTCATTTAAAAGGCAAACATTAACATAAATTTACATAAATGAGTTACATTTAGCCCCCTGTTGAGTCATGCACTTTAAACCTCCAGCTTAAAACATTTCCCTATGATGCAGTGATAATAAATCGTATTTATTTCCAAATAAATGTCTTAAAGTTTGGCGAACAAATATTGGGTTGTGAATTCACCCTTATATTTTTAAGGTGATTAAAAAATGTAAATATAAGAAACCAACAAGGCTCTGGGTTAATGGCCTTGATAATTCATGAGTTGTTTAAGTCAAATGAATACTATCACATTTTCACGCCTCTGTAAATATATGTTGTGATAAAAACCTTTGGTGAATCTCAAACACACAGGTCAGATTTCTGTGACAGAATCCTCTCCTCACCAGGTGATCAAAACGCCCCTGCTGTCCGTTTCCTCAGTAGCTGTAAGCGTCAGTGGACTCAGGTGTCAGCACTGACCCCAAACGACCTTTTCTCATGCTTCTGTTTCCCAGTGAAGGTGTTAATCTGATTTGTAAACTGACCCGTTTAGGTTTGTTGCAGATATTATTCTACTAACATCACTCCTAAAGGCGACCTACTATATTTCCTTGAACAGGTTAGGATAGATATATGGTCTAAACAAAACATGTTCATGACATTTTTGCACAAAATTACTCTTAGATAATGAGATTTCAATCTATTTTGAGGTGTTTTGGAGGCTCCTTTCACTTTAAATCCAAATAAGCTGCTGCTGGCCGTGACCCCCAATTCAATGTTTGCACTCGCACGTGAAAATGACTGCAAACAAAAGCGCTATTATACAACCCTTCATCTTTGAAAAGCAGAAGTGGAGCCTGCTGTACAATAAACAAGGATGCAGCAAGTGATTTCTGGATGGTAAGTCAGCAATAAAACACTCGCCTTTTCCAGCAGCCATTGTACGGCGCATACTGCGGTAAAACAAGCTGTCCAAACATGCCGGGTTGCTAGGCGATGGATGGAACTCTGCTGGGGTTGCTAGGTAACGGGCACTTCCTGCTGATTTGTCATGTTACTTTCGGAAGGTTTTTGGAATGGATCCTTTTCCAGAAATAATAATAATAGTTAAAATCAAAAACAGCTGGGTGTTTTAGTTTTTTTTCTAAGCACCTGGGATGTTTTTAGAAGCAGCCAAGGTCCAAATAGAAGTACAAAAATGTGCAAAATGTGATTTTATTTTTAATGTAAATCTGGAAAAAAAACTTTAGATGTAGAACTTTAGAGTTTTTGAAATGACAATTCTGATTTTGAATTCAAAGAAAAAATGTGTCCTCGTCATCTGGCGTGGAGATTAAAGAACCAGGCGCCTTCATCTATCAGCTGCTGCCGTATGCTGAAACATGAGATCACATCATGCACAGTGTGGATTAAAACTGAAAGTCCCAGATTACTGGATTAGCGCTCAGCTTCCCTGTAATGGACTCCTTGGTAAACCTGACCTGAATGGCAGCCGGCCCATCTGTGAGAGTCGGCATGTGACAATAAAAATAGGTTATTCACAGTTTTTTTTTCTTTTACAGATGATTGCGGACGGACAGAAATGCTTTATATACGTTCTGATCCACAGTTTTTCCAGGTACTTTAGTTGAACCATTTCTCAGAATGTGGCTCTGAGGTTCAGGAAGCAAATTCAGAAATGGAGCATCTGATGGGTTTTTATTCCTGTTTGAAAAGTTTTATCTAAGAAATACAAAATAACAGAATTGGTTCGGTTCATTTACAGAAAAATAACCTCTTTAATTTGCTCTAAATATTGTTAAAAAGTTGTTAAAGTTAGTCCGTGGTTGTTTTAAGAGAATTAAGTTTCAATGGAGTTATTAAGATCTGACTTGTTCTTTTTTTAATGGTTTTAGTTGTTTAAATAATTGTTTCAAAGTCCTGCGGCTCGTACATGTTAATTTGTAAAACCGATGCCAAGACGCTCAGTATTCCTCAAAGCAGTTTGGTGAAGTGTTCTCAAAAAGATTACAAAAAAAAAATACTAAGTTATAACTTAATTCTCCCATTATTGCAACTCTATTCTCGTATTAAAAACAAAAAACAAACAAAATCACTCTTATTCTGTTTCTAATTCTCCATCATAAGCAAGTTAATGTAGCTTGCAGAAAAAGCCAAGAAAAATTTGCACAAAAATCTATAAATCTTTTGAGAAAGAATAAGCCAGCAAAGCTGATAAGTAACCAATGTTTCGAGTTTTAAAATGCTTTATGCACATCCCAGTGAATCATTTGCATTTTTCTCTTTTGAGAATTACACAGCAGTCTTGATGAAATGCTACCAATTGAGTCAACAAACTGAACTTAAACCAACAAAATTAAGCTTTTGCAGCACATGTTGTTAATCTGTTGTAAAAAAAAAATCAAGTCATAAAATGCTGGCGCCTGTGGTTTGTGCAGATAAATTATTAAATATTCTCATACTCTCAATAGTATTTATATTGAGGGGATTTAAACAGTTTCTTAAGGCAAAAGCCAAGGGAATAATGCAGAGCGAATATGGTAATAACATAGCAAGCAATGATAAATAATAATACCATCAGGACCACCCACTCAAAAGCTTTTATTTGCATAAGCAGGAATGCAAATTGAATTTTAAAGCTTATTTTTTAGATTTATTTAAATCAAACCTATTTAAATATCATATATATGCATATATATATATATATATATATATATATATATATATATATATATATATATATATATATATATATATATATATATATATATATATATATATATGCTTCATAGATGGCTGTAACTTTTAATTTTTAAGGCGAATGCCAAAACTCTTTTCGGTCCAAGCGGATGAGCCTTGCCTTAAACATGTAGATCTATGCCCTGATCACATCTGTTGCATAAAATGGGTCAGAATTCAACCACTGGAGGGATATTCTGGTTTTTGGGATGTACTTATGAATTAAGCTTGACCAAGCAGTGAGGATCTCTGGATGGACATTTAACCCTTTCAGACTGAACGTAGCCAAATTTGCAGTACCATAATCCCGCCACATGTGGCGCTATCGGAAACACTCCAACGGTTTCTGAAAGGGGAGATGTTGCGCTTTCCAGCCAATATTGAGTTACTACGGTAATTTCATCCCCGCAGTAGCAGGGAGTGAAATTAATCTGATGAAATACTCTTTCAATAGATGGTAAATTACAAAAATAACTTGCTAGATATTGAAAGTTACTGTTGTTATGCATGAATGGGCAAATATATTTACTCACAAGACACTTAAAGAACTGCGTACAACTAAAATAAGCAAAAATATCCAGAAGGACATTTGAAATTAAGTATTAAAGAGTTAAAAGTAATTTAGTTTTTAAAGACAACTTTGTTCACCTTAAATTCAGCAGTAAAACTGCGTTGCTGAGGTTAAAATCTTAAACTTATGGTAATAATTCCTGCTGGTACCCCAAACTGGGCGGCCGTGACCGGCGTCTCCAGCAGGTGAGACCCAGTTTAGTCATCTCACTTCAAGCTAACTCCTTTACGTGTTGCGAACAGATGTCCCCTGCTGGTGACCTTTCTCCAGGTAATGGTGGATAAAAACGTGTCCAGACCTGCTGAGGTGACCCTGGCTGGTGGGGCTCTGTGATATTTAGGAGATTGTTTCTGTCTCCCTCCTTGTTGCAGAGGATGATGTAGCGTTTCTGACAGCTACAGACACATTCACACATTGTGGCTCTGAATGATTCTGGCGCTCTAACCTACATCTGACTTTCTGCTTTTAAGACATGAACAGGTCTACAGGGGATGAGGTTTGGAGTCAATTTTCTATTTGTTTTAGCACTTTTAAGCAATTCTGTGATCTGGATGATTTCACAGTCCATTAAGTTCCTCTTGGATGCTGCAAGAATACAAGCTTGTTGAACTCCTGAGTTTTTGTTGCTCTACATTTACACAATTTCATATGTGGCTTCGTCCTACTCAAACATCACAACAATGACCCACCAGTAAAATGCTAAAATCCACAAATACTTAATACTTAAAAGTTCAGACACCAAATATACCTTAATATGCATCAACATGTAGAGTGTAAACTGCATTAGCAGAGAAGCTAACATCCATGATCTTCCGTATTTCTGCTCTTGGGGGTTCAGTGAATCAGGGACAGGGAAAATGTCAGGCTGTTTTGCAAATGCCAACCAACAGCATGTCAAGTAGCATGGTGTCTAAATATTTCAGTTTCCAGGCTGCATTTTCTTTCAACTATTTTAGATGTGCTCTCCAAAGAAAAGAAAAAAATAAAATCTGTGAACCACAAACATTTTGGAGTTTCCTCCCACAAATAATTCACAAATAAATGAATTCACAAATTCACCGAACAGGCAGGGTTACACTGTAATTATTTGATTTCATCCTAAGGTATGCAGACACTCTGTATGTACCAATAAAAATTTAATGTCTTTAGCATCCCAAGTTATTAGACTTCTCAGTAAGGGGATAACAGGAGCCGTTTAATGAGATGTTGAGTATTTCTCAAGAAAGTGAAGACTGCCCAACCAAGATAGTTTAAGATTTGTTCTTAGTCTTGAGTGTAAGATATTCTCATTAATATAAAATTGGGTACAAAGACAAAGACGCGCTTCTAAAACCATGATAGTTTCAAGAAGAAAAAATACCATCTACTGACTTTACAAGTGACTTATGCTTCCGTGAACAGGTTAGGGTACAAAACACGTTCATCACAATTTTTGATAATCATTCTGCCTATTTTGAGCTCCTTTCAGATTGAGATGTTTTAGGGCCTCTTGTTACTTTAAATCCAAATGAGCTGCAGCTGGCCACGCCCCCCCAAAATCAACACATGAAAATGGCTGCAGACAGATGCTTTTCTTTACAACTGTACAGCTTTGAAAGCTTAAGTAGGGCCTCCTGCACAAGCAACAAGAATGCAGCAAGGGGTTTCTGAACGGTAACTCAACAATCAAACACTAGTCTTTTCCAGCAGCCATAGTACAGTGCATTCAGTGGGAAAACCAGCTGACTAAATGTGCTGGGACCCTGGTTGGGCTGCTAGGTAACGGACTGAGTTTTGCTGGGGTTGCTAGGTAACGGGCAGTGCCTACTAATACGAAAGGTTTTTGAAACGGCTCATTTTGCAGACACTAAAAAACATTAACTTATCAAAAACGTCTGGGTGTTTTTTTTTTTTAAGGTTTTTTTTTTTTCATTTTTAGAAGCGCTCCAAATCAAAAGAAAGTAGAAAATTTAGTAAAATGTAAATTTTTGCACATTATGTCTCCTTCAGCCAACATGACCTCACCTTTCAATTATGAACAAAATCTAAATCAACTTTGATATAGTGAGAAAACTAAAAGACACCCTTTCAAGGAAAGAACCTGAAACCACAGGTATTGAAAACTATGATCCAAAACTCAACGAAACTAGAGGCATTTGGCTTTCAACCTGCAGAATGAGTGTTCTAGATGATACACATGAACATTTAAATGAGCTTTATGTGGAAATGGGTCATCCTCATGTACTCACGGTGAGCTGTGAAAGGTGACAAATGGCCGGGTCAGTGGGGTGGAGGGCAGCGGTTCTCTCAAACGCTCCAGCGTTGTGACCACTCACCTTTGATCTCTGGCTCGCATGGCGCACCTGTTTGACGTCAGCGGACGAGTGACGACCGGCAGGCGTCTGAGATGAGCAGTCCTCCTCGGTGTCCGAGAAGTGCGCCTGTGACGATTCGGATCCGAAATGAGTGACTCACGGCTGGAGGGCGTTATGGATGGAGGTGTGAGACAGACATACCAGATGAGACATGAGGTACACTCACTGATTCGCTCTCGGACTGGGACGAGGTGCGATGCCTGCCGGTGCCTTTGCACTCCGATTGGCTGGTCAGTGTCGATCGGCGTGTGGACTGCAGGCTGCTGCTGCTGTAGCGGTCCCTGCTGCTGATGCACAGCAACATGCCCAGATATGGTACGTATCTGCTGATGGCCGATCTGAGTCCGAACGAGACGCAGGTAAGATGATCAGGCAGCAACTTTACTTTAAGGACACGATTTTATCGACAAACCCTTCCAGACCGAACGGAGCGCCGGCGATTATGCCAAATTTTCAGTACCGTAATTCAGCCACACGTTGCGCTATCTGAAAAATTCCAGCGGTTTCTAAAAGAGGAGACGTTGCGCTTTGTGGCCAATATCAGGTTATTATGGTATTTTCACCCCCACCGTAGCAGGAAGTGAAGTTAATCTGAAGAAACGCTCTTTTAATACTATGTATATATATATATATATATATATGGTAAATTGCAAAACTTGCCAGATATTGAAAGTTCCAATTGTTATGGATAAATGAGTATATATATTTACCCACAGGACATTTAAAAGACTGCAAAAAATATCCAGGCGTAAATTTGAAACTTAGGTACAGATTATTATTATTATTATTATTATTTTATTTTATTTTTTTTTTTTTTTGAAGATTTTTTTTTTGGGAAATCTGAATTTTTTTTTTTTCCACCAAAGCAATCCCTTGGTTTCCATGGTGACGTCAGCGCGCTTAAGGTTTGTATTTGTTTTGCTTAAATGCTTCTGTTTATTTGAATTAAGGTCAAATATAATGGAATATTAGTCCCAGACTAAGATTTATTTTTAAATTACAAGAATAAAGTCATAATGTTAAAAGAACACAGTAAATATAACGAGAATAAAGCAGTAATTTTATGAGAAATCCAATGCAACTTGTGAAGTTATGCTTTAGTATCTTTAGTTTTAGCGCAGCTACAAGGAAGCATGTTTGCAGTTGCCAAACAAAGAATCCAGAAAATGTAGAAGTACATTTTTGCTACAGTTACGGCTGATTGTTTCTAAATTATGACAAGCTTGATTATTTTATCAATGATAAAATTGACTAGTTTTTATAATATGTGAATTTTCCAAAAACTGAAGCTGCGTAGGAACTAAGACTGCACATTAAGAAAATATGAAAATGTATTTGCATTTTAAAGCCTCTTTTCTGCACTTTTTAGCAACTGATCGTTGTTGCTGAGAAGAAACTTCTGACAGTTTTCTAAAAAAAAAAGAACCTACAGATTTACCACCTTAGTTCCCTGAAATGACAGTGTTGAATTCAATATTAGATCCAATTCATCAGGTCTTCATTAAATCTGACATCCAGCATCTCAGGATCTATTTTTGACACGAATCATCCAGCTTCATGTGCAGCGTGATTGTAATTACAGATAAACCAAATGGGCTTGAAAGTTACCTAGTTTCTATAGTTAGTAATACAGGCCAAAACCAATTTATAAAACCAATTTATTAAACATTTTTTATCAAGTACTATGGACAATGTTGAATTTTCACAAAATGTAATTTGCCAGAACTGAACATGACAGCTAAGCATGTTTCTATTTTCCCTATTGTGACTATCGATCATGTTTTAAATGAGTGAAAACCAGAGAAACCGATGAATCATTTTTAAAATTATTTTTCTTTTTTCAGTGTGGAACCAAAATGTTTCCCTCATGACTAAAAAAAAATTTTACTGTTTAATTGTGCTGCATTCTTCAAACAAACATGCAGAAGTTTCTTAATTAAAAACTCAAAACAAAACAAAAAACCCCCCATTAAAGTTCAGTTGCATTTCTGTTTTTATAATCTCAGTGCATTCTGAAGAAGACAAACAGCATGGAGTCACGTCCCACCTGTATTTCGGATGCGTGATGGCGTAGATGATGGGGTTGTGAATGGCTGAAGCTTTGGCGATCACTGCAGGAACTGAATTCATGTAAGGAGTCAGTAAGTCGGCGTACCTGGCAGAGAAACAGACGAGACGCGTGAGGCGACAGGGAGAAAAATGGGAGAAGGAAATGAGGACCATGTGAGTGACGGGAGTTATTAAAATGAGTAAAAGACCTGAAGCCCGACTTTTACATAATGTTTAAACTATGGTCATGTTTTCATACGTTATATAAATGCTCTTTTGTTTATCCGACTGCCTGATATTTATACGCCAAACACTTTTGTTGAGAGAGAAAAATAAT